CTGGCCCAAGTTGGCACCATCATCGCGCTCTTCCCAGGGGGGGCAGATCAGTCGCCGGTTTCTGGATGGCTGCTCACCTCACTGCGGCTGCTGGCCGCTCACGCTGGCTGCTGTCTACACACGGTAGCCCATGGCAACCCACTGCCATAGGGGCTGCAGCCTACGCCGTCGCCGGTGACTCATGGCAACCCAGCTCCAGGTTGAGCTGTTGTTCAGCATCTTAGCTGTGGAGGGCAGTGTCACTGGCCCTCATATGTGGGATCCAAACCGGGGCCCTCTGGCGTCCCAAGCCAGTTGTTAATCATCGCGCCACTCGGCCGGCCCCCGATGACTTTTATGGGCTTTTATAGACTAAATTATGTCCACCTCTGAATTCCTGTGTTGAAGCCCTAACCCCCAGTGTGATGGTGTTTGAAGGCAGGACCTTCGGGAGGAAACTGGGATTAAACGAGATCCTCATGATGGGATTGGTGCCCTTATAAGAAGAGGAAGAGAGACTCTGGCTCTCACTCTTGCTCTCGGTCTCCCTCACCCCCTACGCCCCACCCGTGTAAAAGACTGTGTGAGTAAACAGCAAGAAGATGGCTGTCTACAAGCCAGGAAGCCGGTCCTCACCAGACACCAAGCCGGTCGGTATCTTGAGCTTGGACTTTCCAGCCTCCAGAACTGTGAGAGATAAATGTCTGTTGTTTAAGCCACTCAGTTTGTGATAATTTGTCACAGTAGCCCACAGTAGGTCACAGTAGGACCTGGACTAACCCTTTGTGAATATGGGATGCTGGAAAGGCACATAACAGCTCCCTTTTTATTTTGTCCACAAACTGTTTTAGTCACAAGGGACTGAACATAAAGACTAGTTTCTATAGCTTTTATACTACCAGTAAAATTAAGGTTCTGATTATTAGTGTTCCAAGTAACCAGGCACTTTTGAGAGGAACCCACCAATAACCTAGAAACGAGAAATAAATTTCGTTTTGAGAGTTAAACTGTAAAATCAGAGCATAAATGTGTAAAGGTTTCCCGGGGTTACTCCCAGGCTGAGTCCTGAGGAAAGCTAAGGTGAGCAGCAGAGCCTGGAGAGTACAGTGATGAGTGCAGTACCCGCCGCCCCACCATGGGCGAGAGACGGCATTCTGGCCTGAGGCTTCCGCAAAGAGACGTGTTGTGAAAGGCATTTATGGGCTCCCAAACTGCAGCCTTTTTCCAAGACCACATCCATCGATCCATTGCACCCAGCATCCTGACAGGGAAGAGCACGAGGGGGCTGAGAGAACTTCTCCAGAACAGAGACCTTGGCTGTGGCTGTGGACCTGTGTCCTAAGAGGTGTCAGGTCCCAAAGGGTCCTTAGGATTTCTTGGCAGTTCATGATCTTCCAAAGTCTGTTATTTATAAACTCGATATGTAGATGTTTATATACTTCACCCTTCCCACTTAGTCTTCTGTAGCCATATAAAAGATTTGGTTTATATCCTGAGAGAAATAGGACTGTTGAAGCAGGGGAGTGATAAGACCAGCTGTGTTTTCAGATAAAAACAATATCTGACAGTGTAAAGGAGAGGATATAGGAAGCTATTTTAGTAAATTGGGAAAGAAGATGGTAGCTTGTACCAGGGTGGAAAGAAATGGATTGATTGAAGAGATACTTAAAAGCTAAAATCAAACTGACTAGTGGCGGTTTGGAATGGGAGGTGAGGGACAGGGGCTGGTATGAAGGGAACTTGTAGGTTCCTGGCTTATGCAGCTCCACTGAAGGTGGCATCATTCATTGTGGTCAGGGAACTCTAGCAAAAAGCCAAGCCTGGCAGCAGCAGTGTGTGTCACCATGGCTCTGGCTTTGCACAGTTGAAGACAGTCAAGCAGAGACCTCAGTTCCACGTGCCCTCATTGACTGTATAGCAATTAACTTCCTGGTTCTCTGACCGTCAGAGAGGTCGCACTAGAGATATGATTTGGGAATCATAGGTATTTAAATAGAAATTGAGACTGTGTATGTGATGAAGAGAGCAAAGTAATGAGCAGTCCTGATGTGATTGAGGAATATAGAGCCCTGTGCCAGGGATAATTAAATGCACGTTCTTTTGTGGTGCACATAATCAAATATTTGTTGGCCGAAGTAGTGCTTAGAGGACATTTTTAAAGGTATGGTAATGGTTTTGTGTTTATGTTTTAAGAAAAGTCCTTAGCTGACATATTTACAGGTGTCTGGATTTGCTTCCAAATAATACGGGCAGTGGGAGTTACGGGGCATGGGTGTAAGTGAAATAAAATTGGCCATGTTGTGAAAATGGTTGTAACTGGAAGATGAATGCATGGTGGTTCATCATCCTATTTTACTGTTTTCTCTACTTTTGTGTATGTTTGAAAATCTATATTACAGAGATAAAAGTAGATCAATTATTTCAAAATAAAAGTTTTTTAAAAATCAGTTTAAGGGTCATTTCCTATAGGCCTTATACTCGAATGCCTCTTTTCTGTGCTTTTGTAGAAGCATGGAACTTGCCACATTGATTGTTGCTGTTAAATGGTTGTTGGTTGGATTTCCTCTAGGCTATCAGTTAGGTCTCTAAGGAACGTGGGTCCTCTAGTGTCAGTCACAGGACCTGGCATGGAGCCTGGTACATAATAGATTCTTAGTACATATTTTTGGAACAAATTGTGACTTTTCATAACATCATGATTTCTAGATGTTAAACATTCCAAAACATAGTGCTCCTATGTGTTAACATTATTCATTCATTTTATTTATCTTACTCCTTTCAAACAGGCTATGTTTCACTATGAAACTAAACTGCTTATATATCTCTTATAAGTCAGGAAAATGAAAATTCCAGAATAAAGTAAGTTATTGAAGGGGGATGTTATTGGGTTGTTGGAAAAGTCATGACGTATTTTTTTCTGTTTTTCGTTGCAAAAATGCATCATGACTTTTCTGACAACCCAGTAGTTTGCGCTGTCTCAGTCCGAGCCAGGATGTTGTTTATTTATCTTCAGGCTAAGTGTGGAGAAGTCCTCTGAGTAAGACAATTATTTGTCCTCCAAGCACAATATTGTGTATTTCTAAATGTAACAGAAATGCTCATATTCAAATCTAAGATGAAAATCTAACCCTCAAACCCAGCTATAAATTCTTTCTTGTTATCTACCTTATTGCTCCCTTTTATTAGCTTAATAAATAACAGTTATGATTATTGAAAATTTAATTTAAAAAATCCAAGTTCTTTTGCTTGCTTTCTTCTCTCTGCACATTATCTTCATATTCTGTAGCCACTCCTTGATCATGGATATGTTTTTCCTGTTTTCACTGTAATTGGAGCCTCATAAACCCTGAGCTCCAGGGAAAGTGAGTCAGAAGCAGAGCCCTGCAGCTTAAGCCAGGACCCAATTTTTAAATAAATCACCTGGCACCCAAACACCTCTCATTCATCAAGAAGCCTTTTTGGTCCTCTTGGCCTGGGGACTAGGTGGATTGTCAGTGGTTAGTCATCAGGTTATTTTCATAACCATATTCTCCTATGCTGTTTTCCTCTGAATCGGGGGATTGGTAGCAGCTATGAGCATTTTTAATTGTCATTTCCATAAAAGTAAAACACTGTTTTCTTCAAAGCACTTATGATCATAGCTGGCATGTTTTTAAAGCCAGTTGCCCAGCTAAATGCCAGTGACCCCTGTGATGCCCTCCTGGCTGTCTGCCCAAACTGGCAAAGTCAGAACTGAGAGGTGCCTAAAGAAACTCACTCAATGATAGAATCAACAGCAAGGGACATGGGCTTGGTTAGGGTGAGGGCACAGGTAGTGTTTTCCACTACCTTTGGATGTCAGATTGTCTGCATCTAAACTCTGCATCTGTTATTTAGGTCTTTTTCTCTCTTATCTTTATGGTAACTCTTAATTATTTATGAAAACAGAAGCCAAGGAGAACATAGATAACTAAAATGTAGAATTGAACCTTATAATTTATAATACTTGAAAACCAAAAGCTCAGACTCTCTTTATATAAAAGTGTGGTGTGGCACCCCACCTTGAAACCACGTGGCATTCTGGCCATGGTGTCTCAGGGAGACTGCCAGAGCTGGACACCGTGAGAGGATGGTTCAAAGTAGGGTCAGAGGGAATTGAGGGTGTCAGATATTGGCACTCTTTTTTTATTCAACAGACATGCAAGATACAAAGATGCAACACAGTCCTTGCTCTGTGGAGTTTGCAGTAAAGCGGGAGCTAGAAAGTGAGAGGTGGGCCGCATGACAGACACGGGCAGACATTATAGCGCATACACCTCCGGACTGCTGAATTCAGTGCAGTTTTAGACCTTAGTTTTACTGCATCACCTGATGCGACTGAACATTCTCTACTTGCAACTCTCACCCCTCTTGTCTTCCGTATTACTCTATCCTGAGCATGGTTTCTTGGTACTGGCTCCTTTTGTCTGATGCTGATCTAGCATTCCCTAGAGGACCCCTCTCTCTTTTCCTTCCCACCCTGTTTGTCAGTTCCCAACTCTTTCCATCCCAGCACCTCCAAGGAGTATGGCAGACTGTCATCAGTTAACAGTGGCTTCTTATGGCAGTGATTTTTAACTGGGTGGGGAACCGGTACCCCCAGGACCAAGGGGAGAAGCTCCCAGGGTGATTGTGCTGCATTCTCCCCTGGGCAGATTTGGTGCCTTTTCAGCCCCTAGCAGAGTGGCTGGCCCAGTAGGAGTTCAGTGGTGGGCAGTGGGGAGTGTGGTGGTGGCAGGCGCGGCAGGTCCCTTAACTGAGTGCGTCCGGAAGGGCTGAACGGAGGGGTCATCTGCTGAGCTAACCTGATTCACCAGATAGATAAACCTTAAAGGAGATTGAAAGAGGTTGGTTTTCAAAGATAGGGAGATCAGTTATTAAACCCTGGGAACATATAAGTGACAAGTGATTAGGTACGCAGACTTTTTTACTAAACCCCAAAGCATCAGAATGAAAAAGCTCTCTTTGACTCTTGAACACGATTAGTATAAGTCAAATGGAAGATGTCCTACATCACTGGACAGGTAATAAATTGATGAACCTCATTGCCCCCAAGAAATGATACTGGCGCAAGATATTGTTAATTAATTTTTTAATAAAAAGTTTCATTCTTTAAGTCATTCACTCAGTAAAACTTTTTGAAGCATCATCTTGTGTCAAACACTATAATAGGTGTTATATATACAGTAGTGACCAAAGCAGACATCGCCCCTGCCTGCATGGGGCTTATAGTCCAGTGAAAAATAAATGCTAAGCAAATAATCACTGCACGTACACACAGAGAGAGAAGTGCTATGAAAGAAAAAAATAGAGTGTGGTGGGGCAGTGTAACAGGGTGACCCAGTTGAGATTAGGGGTGAATGAACAATGATTAGGGGCTAATCAAGCAAAAAGTCAGGGAAGAGGCAGAGACAAGAGATGTGTGAAGTCTGAGGCAAAATGGTTTGGACAAACTGACGAAGAGCTGGACAGTGATTCAGCTGAGGAGTGCTGTCAGGGAGGAGGCCACGGCATTCCCCGCTCAGCACAGCACCATTTCCCCCTGTGTGGCTGTGGGCACTGACCAGTGGCATCTGCTAACCGTGGTGATGGCTGCTGGGGACCCAAGGGGTAACAAGACACATGCTATAGAACCTGCCTCACGATTCCTCCCGTTCACTTCAAGTATCTTGAAGGGACAAGATACTGAGAGAGCACAGCTTTGTCTTGTGAGGATGGTGGAGACAAAGCCGAGTTTTCAAACATGAGTGAAAGAGAAAGGCCATTTTAGGAACGAGGTGGGCAATGAATCAAGGTGCGAGGAGCGTGACGTGTTTGCAGAACTGCAGGGAGCTTGTGGCTCAGATACAGGGTTTGTACGAGAGCTGAAGGAAACAGTTGCTCATGCGAGGCAGAAGCCGAATGTTAAGAGATGTGTACGCACTGAGGAACTTGGGCTTTATCTGGGGTGTTTCTTAGGCGGGGTGAGGGTGGGGTGAGGTGGGGTAGGGTGGGGTGTGTAGGAGGGCACGATGGGGTGCCTGCACTGGAAGGCAGGGACTTCATCCTATTTTGGCTTTACAGAGACTGCTCTGGCAGTAGCATAGGTAGATTGAAATTGGGCCTGGAGGAAGGAAGGTACTGCATAACTCTGGGAAGAACTGGGGGCAGCCTGGTGTGGCACTGACTATACATGGGGAGAAGGGTCACATGAAAGAGCTCTTTGCGGGTAGAATCTCTAAGACTTGGGGATTGACTGGTGTTGCTGGAGGAATGAAGAAAGAAGGAGTCGAGCATGATTTCAGGGTGATCACTTGGGTGACTGACTGGCGTGTGATGCCATTCACTGAGGCCACAACACGTGTGGAGAAAAACTGCCGAGTTCCAATCCAGGCCAGTTTACATGGCGTGATACGGACTAGCCAAGTGGAGAAGTCCCATAGGGTCCAAACTGGACGAGAGATAGGAAGGGAGAAGACCGGCCCAGGGCCGAGAGCTGATCGCCTTTTCTTCCTTAATAAATGTTTGTTTTAGAATAGTTTTAGATTTACAGAAAAGTTGTAAAGGTATCTGTTCCCATAGGCAGCATTTCTTTAGGTCCTGCTTCCACCTCTTCCTTGGGTTTGTGCCATATTGGAATGGGTATCCTTGTTTGTACCAATATGTGCATACACGTGCATACGAGGCTTCTGTGGTTCAAAAAATTGAAGCAATGTAAAGGTCTCCTGTAAAAATTCTTACTCCCACCCCTGACCCCTACTGTCCATTCCCACTCCTACAGGTAATTATTTTTAGTCTCTTGTGTGCTGGTCCTTCCATTTTTTTTTTATTGGAGAATTGGGGGGATGGGAACAGTGCTGGGGAATTGGGGGAAGGGAAACAGACAAGTTGCTGTCATCTCGTTCTTCAGTCTAGTTGTGGAGGATGTTGCGTCACTGGCCCAAGTTGGCACCATCATTGCGCTCCTCCCGGGCGAGGCAGATCAGTTGTCGGCCTCTGGACAGATCAGTCGCCGGCCTCTGGACAGCCACTCACTGCGGCTTCTGGCCGCTCACGCTGGCTGCTGGCTACACACAGTAGCCCATTGCAACCCACTGCCACAGGGACTGCAGCCTACGCCGTCGCTGGCGACCCACGGCAGCCCAGCTCCAGGTTGAGCTGTTGTTCCGCATCTTAGCTGTAGAGGGCAGCGTCACTGGCCCTCATATGTGGGATGCCAAGCCAGCTCTCAACCAACGCGCCACTTGGCCGGCCCAGTCCTTCCGTTCTTTAAATGTAAATGCAAGCCAATAATAAGAACACAGCCATGCTTAGCTACCAGGATACGTTCTGAGAAATGCATTGTGAGGCCCTTTCGTCATTGCACAGACATCACAGAGCGCACTTACACAACTAGACTGCATAGTGTACTACTGTAATGGTGTGTGCTGGACTTTTACACGACTGGCAGCACAGTAGGTGTGTTCACACCAGCATCACCACAAGCACGGGCGTAAAGGGTTGCTCTAGGACTTACCACAGCTACGACATCACTGGGCGATAGGAGTTTCTCAGCTCTGTTATAATCTTACGGGACCACCATTGTATATGTAGCCTATCGTTGACCGAAATGCTATTGTGCAGCACACGGCTGTACACACTGCGTGTTCTCTCCCTTTCTTATACAAAAGGTCATGTACTGTGGACGTTGTTCTGTAGGTTGCTTTTTTGCTGAACCATATACCTTGGAGATCAATACATACAGAACTGCGCTGTCTGAGAAGGTAGCTATGGGCCATCTATGGCTACCGAGCCCTTGAAATGTAGCTGGTCAACTAAAAGACAGAATTTTGAATTTTATTTAATTTAAATTTTGGTTTTAAAATGGAAACAGTGTAAAATATTTCACCATTAACCTCAACTTTATTGTTTTGGTAGGGCTACATTTCACTTTTACCATGGAAAATACAGCATCCAAATTGAGCTTTGGTGTGAGTTCAGAGACTTAATTTACATATTTTTGTACTATGTCATCAATAATGTTTTACATTGTTTACATGTTGAAATAATTTTTGATATCTTAAATAAAATATTAAAATTTTACCGGTTTCTTTTTGTTTTTAAAATATGGCTAAATTACATATGTGGCTCAAATTCTATTTCTACTGGACAGCACTGACAATAGACCATCCATTATGTTTTACAGTTTTATAGTATTCTATTGTATAGAGTACCATAATTTATTTAACCAGTTCACTACTGATGCACATTTAAGTTGTTTCTAATCTTTTACCATCAAAAATACAGAGATGCTTAACCTTGCCCATGTTACCTTCATACATGTACAAGGTGATTTGTGAAATGAATTCCTGGTATTGGGGTTGCTGGATTAAAGAGTGAATGTTTATGTAATTTTACATATGTAATTTTGCATATGTAATATGTAATGTAATGCATATGTAATTTCGGTATTGCCAAATTGCCCTCCGTAACAGGTAGACCAGTTTGCACTCCCATCAGCACTGTGTGTGAGTGCGGTTTCCCCATATACTGCCATTTTTAGCTACAACATTTACATGTTTTTGGATATAATAATGAACACATTTCTCTTTGCAAATTCCAAGAGAGTTTTAAGAAGAAATCACAAATGGTTTCCTGACTTCTTTTTCTGTTTAAAAACAAAAGATAATGATAAAACTCTCAGAATCAACATTTTAGAATTGATTCTTTTTTCTAATGAAAATGTCAAAGACTTAACCTACACAGTTTTCCTGGGCTGTAAATTTCTATGGAATTTTCATCATATTCAGATTTAGGAATAGAGATATTTGTGAGGGTTCCCATGCGTAAGGGACAACATTTGCTTTTGTTTTCCAAGACAGAGATTTCCCAGGTTCTCAGTAGCCTTCCCTGGCTGGGCAGACTGACATTTCAAGGTAGAAAGGCAGTGTGCACTCGGGTTTTACGCCCTGTCAGCTTTCCAGTTCCCTGGGTTCCCTTCATTAAATGCCGAACACGGTCCATCTTAACGGGCTGCTTAACTGAGGAAATGCACTGACAGCATCACTGGAGCTGATCAGCCACCATCATCATTAAACCGTCAATTCTATTTACTTTATTAAGCTGCAGAAAAAGATCGTCTTTCCACCTTTAGGATCCAGCTGTTGTCCCTCTTTTAAGACTGGTGTGCCCTCTACTGCCTTCTTCTCTTTGCCTTGTTGTGTTTTTTTTTTTAAATTGAAATGAAGAACTAAACGTTCAGCATCTAAAAACAAATTGCTTCATTTTTCCCATTCATAGGAATCTGAAAAGAAGATTCTCATGAAGAGAAACCTCACTCTGTTGTTAGGGATGTGTCAGATAAGTTAATCATTAATATAACGGAAATCCGTGGCTCTCAGGAATGTAGGCTCCTATTTTGGCAAATTCTAGAGGCCTAGAAGAGTATTTTATAGCAAGTACGACTGGCCATTTACTGTCTTTAATAGTTTGTTGTTTTTCAATACGAAAAGATTAAGGAATAAAAGGTGAGACTTGGTGTGGCTTGTGCTAGAAGAGCACGCGGACAAAGGGACCCACTGGGAGGGTCGGCCTCAGTGGTAGTGAGACTTTGAGTCGGTTCTGCTGTGCGTCAGTTACAGACTAAATCATCACACAACTTTCTAACCGGAAGCCGCTGCCCCACAGCTGCTCTTCGTGTCCCATTGTTCTTCTGTTGCTAATTTTGCTTATTTTGTTGCAGGAAGGGTTTTCACTCATTGGTAGCAAGAACTGGTTGAAGATTGTAAGACGCGTGGACTGTCTACTGTTTGGAACAACGATAAAGGCAAGATGCTGTGTGGCCAACTGCTTTTGAGCGTTGAGCTTGACCTCGTCTTCTGTGTGCAGGTGGGGGTGGGTGCGGGAGCTGCTTTTTGCAGGTGAAATGTGGGCGTCCCAACTTGCCCAGATGAGCAAAATGAGTGTGTAGCTTCTCCAGCCTCAGTTGTGGATTGGCTCATGGCTATGAACAGTGCCTGTCAAGGAGGCGATTTATAAATATGAGTCTGTGATATACAGAGCGCTCTGTCATCTGTTCTCTTGTTATGTAACATGGTGTCAGAAACATTATATCATGGCAGTTCTTAGTCTTTGAAAACATGATTCTTCATGGCTACATAGCACTTTGTTTGGATGCACCATGATTTAATTAACTAATCCCCAATTTCTCACTATTATAAATGTGTTTTGATTTTCATAAGGGTTTATTTAGAAGTCCTGGAATTGGGAACATTTATTTTGTAAATTTTCCCTCCAGATAGGTTGTCCATTTCTACAGCACTAGCAATCTGTAAGAATGCTCATTTACCCAAATCCTCTCGAACATGGTGATAAAATTTAAAAACTAGTTTCCAATTTGATAGGCAAAAATGAGCATCTTCCTTTAATTTGCATTTCTTTAGTAACTAATGAGAAAGAACATTTTTTGTGTTTGTTCCCCATCTGTATTGTGTGAATCACCTGCCTACTGCTTTTGCCTAATTTTCCTCTTCAGAGTATTTAGATACTGTATGTATGGAGATTACATGTTATTGACATGTACAGATTACATGTTATATAGAAATATGTATTTATGTCATTGGTATAGATATATAATCTCATATAATATTCATGTATTGAATATATATAATGTTTAAGTAATTTTATAACCTGCAAACAATGATAATTGTATTTATTTACTGTAGTTATACTTGCTACTTTCTCCACCTTACTGAATTAACCTTCCCGTACACCATAGTTATGGTTACGGCACCATTCTGGACAGCTCACTGACCTGACTAGGCAGTGTTACTTAGACATTAAGGATGCTTCTGGCTGGTGATTGTATACTCTTTACCATGTAAGGGAGATACTCTTTCAGTTATAGTTCATTTACTAATATTTTTATCAGGATTACATATTAAATTTTATCAAAAGCTTTTTTTTAAGATTTTATTGGGGAGTTGGGGAGGGGAACAGTGGTGGGGAGTTGGGGAGGGGAACAGTGGTGGGGAGTTGGGGAGGGGGAACAGCCAAGTTGTTGTCCTTCAATCTTAGTTGTGGAGGGCACAGCAAGCTCAGCTCCAAGTCCAGTCACGCCGCTCAGCTCAAGGTGCTGTGTTCAGTTAGTTGTGGGTGGGCATAGCCACCATCCCATGTGGGAGTCGAACTGGCAGCCTCCTTGTTAAGAGCATGCACTCTATCCACTTAGTCATCTGGGCGGCAGCTCAGCTCAAGGTGCCGAGTTCAGTCGTTAGTTGCGGTGGGTGTAGCCCACCATCTCGAACAGGCAACCTTGTTGTTAGGAGCACGTGCTCTCACCAGCTGAGCCATCCTGCCACCTGTTGGCAGCTCAGCGGCAGCTCAGCTCAGGCGCAGCTCACTGGCTCATGTGGGAATTGAACCAGCGACCCTGTTGCTCAGAGCTCACACTCTTGAGCAAGCTCCTAACCATCTGAGCCACTCCGCTGGCCCCTATCAGAAGCTTTTGTACACCTGTCAAGATTCGGGGTTTTTTCCCGTGGCTCTATTGACTTGATATATTAATATTGAGCCAACAGATTCTTCTTTTTGCTTTACCTGGCAAAATGTATCTTTGGTGTTTCTTCCCTTGGATAACTTTAGTTAACCGAGTATTATGTAACAAACACCATTATTTCAATTGACAAATGGAAGAAGTACTTTGAAATAAAATTTTCATTCCTTTAACAGCAATTTAAAATAACTTAAATTCTTTGTGGTAATAAAGATAATAAAGATTATACTTCTTTACCATCTGGCTGGAATAAGTAGATTGTATAAGTTCTGCCTACTTGCACTTCCTTTATTTCAGTAATTCTGATCAAAATGGTCCTATCAGATTGGCTAACAGTTGACACATAATTCCCTTTCTGAAGAGAGCTTGGTTCAAAGGAGTAAACTCAAACCACTGTCCTCTTTACTTCTCACCTCAATAACTCACTGAAGAATTTTTTCATGATTTCTTCTAGCCTAGACTTTGGTTTCAAAGCAAAGAAGCCAAGAAAATGCTGAAATCCCTTCTCTGATGAAGTCTTTTCTTTGTACTCCCCTTCCCTCATTTTCTACAATAGAGGAATTCACTATATGAGATGGGGAGAACTGCTCTGGTTGGGGTCCTAGTGGTGATGGGAAACTCCTTCTGGATCTGAGTGATGAATCTAAAACTAGCAGGCAAAGCTGGTGGGTTTGTGAGGTCTCTGCTGTATCCATGGCTCTCCTCCTCCATGGTCCTCACTGGGGCCCATGTCTTCCATGTGTGCTGAGACTGTAACGTCACCTACAGAGCCTGTGGCTTAGGAATCTCCACATGGCCAGAATGAGGAGACACAGAAACATTGAGGAGACACAGAAACATATCCCAAATTAAACAGAACAAAGCTCCAGAAAAAGAACTGAACAAAATGGAGACAAGCAATCTACCAGACATAGAGTTCAAAACACCGGTTATAAGAATGCTCAGTGATCTCAGGGAGAGCTTCAACAAAGACACAGGAAACATAAAAATGGAGAGAGAAAACATAAAAAAAGAACCAGTCAGAAATGAAGAGTATAATAACTGAAGTGAAGAATACATTAGAGGGAATCAATAGTAGATTAGATGAAGCAGAGGATCGAATCGGCAATTTGGAAGACAAGGTAGCAAAAAACACCCAGTCAGAACAGGAAAAAGAGGGGGAGAGATCCCAGATGGTGGAGTACACACACACTGTGCCTCATCCCGTGAACACATCAGAATTGCAACTAAATTATAGAACAGTCAAGCTGGAGAACCATCTGAAGTCTAGCTGAGCAGAGTTTTATAACTAAGGCTATAAAGAAGCAGTGATGTTGAGACTGGTAGGAGGGGCAGAGATGTGAAACAGGCTGTCCCACACCCACAACAATTCACAGCAAGTGAATTAAAAAGGATTTTTTACTTTTAATTATGGCATAAAAAATAAATCTCATCAGGATTTTCAATGTAGTCCTTTTTGTTAACCGGGGGGCAGGTTTTCCCTTGTGCTACCCCATGATTATGGGATGGAGCTGTAACTCATGTTCAGATTTTTCCTGATTTTTTAATCTTAGGTCCTCATGCGCTGAACTGGCATTTCTGGCTTCAGATGATAAGCTCAGATTCTGTCTGAGAATTTTATAAAAGGAAGCGTGGAGCAAGTCTTCAGTCAGGCTGTCAGACATCCAGCCTTCCAAGGAAACCCTAACTATCCAAACTCATTCTTACGTGGTCACGTGTAGACACCGCTAGACTTACATAATTGGTCTGAGATGTTTGCCCTGTTTATACACTTAATTGTCTGTTTCTGCATATAATTTGTCATCTAGCTACGAGGTATAATTTTGAACGTAATTGTTTCTCAAAAGGTTGTGTAGTTACAGAATTGTAATAGAATTAGCTAATATAGAACTACTTCATATAGATGTCTTCATAGAGAGCCTGTCCTATGGTGAGCTGGGAACACCTGATAAATTGTAAACAAAAAACCAGCCCAGTTTCACAAAGGAAGACTCACACTGCCACCAGACACTGAATGTGTGGTTCTCTCATCAGTTCTTCCCCTTCCTCAGGGAAAGTAGCTTTCAGTGACTCTTGGTAATTTGGGGATTGTTCCTCCAAGAGAAAAGTGGCTAAGGAAATGAACAGGCACTCACAAAGGAGAAATTACAAATGACCAATAAGTCTAAGAAATATACTCAACCTCACTTGTAATCAAAGAAATGAAATTCTCAGTTAAAAATCTATGTTAACCGAGTAGGTTAAAAACATTTACAAATCATAGGACATTCTCAAGGGCACTGGGAAATGGGCATAGGGACGCTTTCTGGGAGGGAGCTGGTGCCAGCCTCGCCGCAGGCAGGTCAGCATTAGGGACCAAAACACACGGGTCTCGGACCAGGAAGTCTGCTTCTAGACATTTGTGTACAATGATGAGTGCACGAGACTGCTCGTCAGAGCTCTGTGGTTTATAGCAGGAGAAAGGCTGGAGATGACTTAGATGCTTGTCAGCAGGGGGGCAGCTAAAGAAACACTCTTTAGCCATTAAAAGTAATGAAATACACTTCTATTTTTATACTTGTTAAATAAAAAATAGGTAACAAAACAGTAGTGTAAAATATATAACCTACACATGATCTATAACCTATTATATTAGTTTATGTGTGAGTAGATGTATATGTTCTAATATATAGGTATATATCAGAATATTTCCTTTTCATAGTTTTTCATTGTTGGAGGGGGTAATAATAATGGGTGACTTTTATACTCAGGGGAAAGAATTAAATAAATTAAAAAATGAAGAGACCCCAGCCAGCAGTGACAGGAAGGAGTAGCAGTGTCTGTTTTGTGAACGTGACACTTGACACCGCTCAGCCTTGGCGGAAGTGTGCTGTGAGCTAAGCACTGGGCTTTGCCTGAGTGCTTTACCCAAACATTTTAATAGTGTAAACTGTGAACAGGAGAATCAAGGAATTTTGGCTTAGAGGAACTTAGAGGATTTGCTAGCTGTGGTGAGGTATACTTTGCAGTCAGCAGTGATTTATGGATTTAGTAAATGGAAAGTGCTGTCACTATGTTAAGTGTGCATCTGAATTTCTTTATGGAAGAAATGGAATAAAGGAACACAATACATACAGTCCTATTTGGGGTGGCTTTTGTGTAAACTGACTTCTCTAAACTAGGCAGAATGTTATACTAGGAAAAAGAAACTACTTTTATTAAAATAATGGGTTCATTGTTGTTATAATTCAGGCCTGTTTTTAAACTTAAAATGAAATAAACTTGATGCCAGATTTTAAAACTTTTAATTGCATCTCTCCCATCTTTGCTGATTTATCAAGGGATGTAACTTATACAGCAAATTAAAGGCAACATGTAATTTGTATGGTGGTCTGGCCTCTTTAAAGATTAAGGACACCACAAGTTATTAACGTGACATCATGAGCTTTTAGTATCAGTCTTGTTTTCTAAATTCACTAGCTTGTTTAATGTGGCATCTACCTGTTTTATATACACTCAGGTTTAGAAAATGTTTCTTGATGGGCTGACCGAGTGGCTCAGTTTGTTAAGAGGGTGAGCTCTGAGCAACAGGGTCGCCAGTTCTATTCGCACATGGGCCAGTGAGCTGCACCCCAGCTGAGCTGCCACTGAGCTGCCAACAGGTGGCAGGATGGCTCAGCTGGTGAGAGCATGTGCTCCTAACAAGGTTGCCAGTTCGACTCCCACATGGGATGGTGGGCTACCCCTGCCTGCAACTAAGATTGAACACGGCACCTTGAGCTGAGCGGCTGCGAGCTGCCAACGGGCGGCTGGATGGCGACTGGACTTGGAGCTGAGCTAGGTACGCCCTCCACAACTAAGATCGAAGGAGAACAGCTTGGCTGTTCCCCTTCCCCAATTCCCCAACACTGTTCTCCTTCCCTAATTCCCCAATAAAATCTTTTAAAAAGAGAAAAAAAGAAAATGTTTCTTGAGCGAGGAATATGCAGTATTATCTTCACAGATTTTTCACCTAAGGAATTAAAAGCTATGAAATCTGTATTCCAAAGGAAGGAAAAACATTTATCTTTTACTGCAATCAGTATGGCCCCCTTCCTGGTCCATATGCTGTGTGGACTTTTCCATCCTTACTGATGATGTCAGGTCCCTGAAGGAAATGACTTTAGTATGAGGAGCAGTGCCCACAAGTGGGGGAGACACTGGATTATTGGCTCTCCCTCCCCACAGCAACAACCTAGGGTCATGCTCCCATCTCCATACCCTTCCCCTCCAAGCAAAGTGCCACTCGCCCTACAGCACACACAAATTAAGTGACATGGCCGGGATCGTTGAGAATAACTTCTTGTTTGTCACGCAGGACAAGAGCCGCATGTTCCGCGTGCAGTTTGGTGGCGCGTCGGCGGAGCAGGCGCTGGAGCACTGCTGCAGCTGTGTGCAGAGCCTGGCCCAGTACATCACCGTCCAGGCGCCCGACGGGGCCGGCCGGCAGCTCGGGCTGCAGCCTGGCCCACCGACGGCGGGGGGAGGCCCAGGGCCGGGCCACAAGCCGAGCGTCCCCGGGCAGCATGGAGTGAGTAGGCTTGTGGGGGATGTGCAAGCAGCCTGAAAGGTGGTGCTCTGTGGGCTGCCAGAGCCCTGGTGGGATTAGTGGGTTAAAAGATGCCTAATGCTAGGGCCGGCCGAGTGGCTCAGTTGGTTAAGAGCTCGCTCAAGAGTTTGAGCTCTGAGCAACAGCGGTTGGAGTCCAGCCCGAGCTGAGCAGCCACTTAGCTGCCAATAGGTAGCAGGATGGCTCAGCTAAAAAAAACAAAAACAAAAAAACAAAAAAAGATGCCTAATGCTGAGCGACTTATTGAACTTGGAGGTTGATTCGCGTAGCTGCCCGTAATCCTAGCAATTAGACTGGGAAGGGGTCCCAGCTGCGTTCTGTGTGCACTGGAATGTGGTAATGAATGTGTGGTCCATGGATCCCTCCCTGAGACCTTTTCAGGGGTCCACAAAGTCCCCATGTTATTTTTGTAATAATATTAAGACATTTGCCCTTTTTTGTCAATATTTGCGTTAATGGGACAAAAGCATTGTGAGCAAAACTGTTGTCACCTTAGCCCAAATGAAGGCAGTGGTACCAGCGGTACCAGGAGGCGCCATGTTCTTCACGTCACTTGCAGTAAGAACAGACGTCACAGCCCTGCCGTCCGAAGCGCGGCCCTGGGGCAGCACCTGTGAGACTGACGGGGCTGGGAGCTGAACTAGCCCTTCTTCATGAAAAACCATCATTACCTGAAAGAACAATGGACAAACTGGTTATTCAGATTTGGGTATTTGGTGGACATTGTCTCAGAAACGAATAAACTGGGCCTATCATTTCAGGAAAACAACTGATAGTATTTATCAACAAACAATGATGGAATAAGCTTCTCAAGGAAAAATTAGAGTCTTGGATAACTTGGATGAGCCACTCGAGCTTCAGCTTCCTAACCCAGAAGACCTTCCTGATGGTGCTGTTAATGAACTTGATTTTTTAAATAATGACACGACAAAATGTTTCAACATTTGGAAGATCTGTATAGTTCAGTGAACCAGTATTTTCCAAATGGCCAAATGCATGCTGCTTCAAAATCACACATGGATAAGCGCTCTCTTCAAAGTGCAGAAGAGACCATGGGTTTTACTATAAGAGCCCATTGCCACGATTTCTAATTCTGTGTTGCAACAAACCTTTAAGAAACTGCCACTTGCTGAGTTTTGGTGTCATATCAAATAATGTCCACAATTATCTGAAAAGCCTATTTTAAAATGCTTCTGCCTTTTCCGTCTACATATCTGTGTGAAGCTAGATTTTCTTCATGGACTTCAGCCAAAGCAACATGTGTCAGTAGATTGAAGCAGGGAGAGACAAGAGAGTCCACCTGCATTCCATTAAGCTAGACATTAAAGAGGTCTGCAACAATCATTACATTTTTGTTTTAGGAAATAGTTATTTTTCATAAAAATGTTTTAAACATTAAACAATGGGTTTATTTTTAAATGAATATTTAAAATTTTTGATTTAACGTCTATCATAAGTATCAGATAGACATTAAGTTGGACCAAAGCTGTTGGAGGGCCTTACTAATTTGCAAGAGTGTAAAGGGTCTTGTGATCAAAGTCCGAGAATTGTCACAGAATTTCTCCAAGGTGTCCACATTCTAGTATTCATTGGCATGGTCCCAAGTGCTGTTAGAATAAGCATCTATCTCTGCTCTTGGAATGAAATCCCAGTTTCAAGCTGGGTTTTTAATTTTATATTTCGAGAAATGATTTTCCAAACATGGCTTTCCATCACTTTTTTCTGTTAGGTCTCCTTAAACTCACTGGACCAAGACAATTCATTTTTGCTGTTTTATCACCAAGTTTCTTGTCAATCATAATTTAGGGTGAACATAAATTTACATTATTTGTCGTGAAGTCTTTTTCTTTAAGCAAGTGCTGCATGATTTCTTCTTGAATGTGTTTAGTTTGCCAAATCAGATTGTGGTGTTTTAGAATTCTTTACCTTCGTTTGTTTCTGCGTGATCCTTTGTGAAGAGGTCAGCATCAGCACTAAAGCTGCTTTTGTCACAAACCCTGATCTCGTTTCAACATTATGCCTCATCAGCCCCTGCTATATTCTTTAGATGCCTCCCTACAGACAGGATGGAGTGGTTTATTATAAGGTACTTTATTGCTCATGATCCTTTGCCCCTTTTTTTGTAGGTTTCATTATTAGATTCAGGTTATAGTACCCAGTGCGTGGGGTGCAACAGGAACCCAACAGGGTCCCAGAATTTGGGAACTGGGTCTGGGCCTTATAAAGGTCGTGAAGAGAAACCCAGCTGCACAATTATCTAAATATAAAAAGATAAGCTGTGACACATGTAACAAATGCCCGCTGGGGTTGTGCGCTCCAGCAGCAGATATCTGAAGGCTCCCGCTCTCTGATTTTAAAGGCCGGTGCAAATATCCAGGTAGAAATGTCCCCAAAGGGGCTGGGAAGATGCCATGTCTCTTCTCGATTCTGTATTCAGGGGCTCCTCCCAGCTGTGGTTTGGTGTTCTGAGCAGATGAGAGAACACAATGTGCAAAGGCCACAGGCTTTGGAATCAGAACAGATCTAGATTTGAATCATGGCCCAGTTAGTCGCTGCATGATCTCATGCAAGTCTCTGAACCCCTCTTGTAAAAGGGGGAGATTGAAATGCTGTGTGTGTAGAAAGCACCTAGTACAGTGCCTGGCCAATATCTAAACAACATTATCAATCATTACTATTATGGCCAGTACTGTTTCCCTCTCAGATCCGCCTTCTCTTGCAAATGAACAAATTAGCATCCTAGTCAGTAAGGGTCAGAACTCAAGTCCACAGGGCCGGAAGAGGGAGTGTCAGCTGCAGAGACATAAGCCGCTGGGCTGCTTTCTGAGTGCAGACCTGGGAAGCCCCGCCCAGATCACCGGTCATCCTAGTGCCATCACAGCCCGCCGTGTGCCCCTAGCTGTGCCCTGCAGATTAGCTCCCTTTTACGAGGTACAAGCCCTGGCCAAGCTCCAGACACCTCCTGTATTCAGGTTTCATTTTCCCAATAATTACGTATTTCTCTAAAATAGTTATTTTTTTGCAAATAAAAATAATTCTCTATTTCAAGTTCTTGAGTCATTTCCTGGCTCATATTTTGTTTTTACTTTTCATCAGCCTTGCAATTTTGCTAATTGTGGCTTAACCAGGTGTTTCTCAACCTGAGGGCTTCGAAGCGAGAGGCAGGAGACAGGCAAGAGGGGGGCAGTTCCTAGGTGAGCTCTCCTTAGCTAGCACAGGTCCAGGGGGCTCCTCTCTGTGCACTTGGTCTGTCTAATCCTGGAGCCGCCACCAGCCGCAGGCACGTCGTCACACGTGGCTACTGCTCAGTGTTTATGACATCTGGCTTTTGGTTGACGTCTTTCCCAGTTTGAAGGATGCGGTGTTAGCTGGATTGATATGTATCCTAGGAAAACATCAAATGTTAGAGCTGGAAAAACACTAGGCATTAGTCTTTTATTTTGATAGATGAGGAAACTGAAGACAGAAATGGGTCTCACCTAAGAACCCCTGAATCGTCCCCTTTTTGCTCATTTTGATTTTAGTGACCTTGACTAGTTTTCTCTGTCTTCTCTTGCCTTCCTTTGTGCACCACCCCTCCTTTTTTGACGTGTCCTGACCTACTTTTCTGCTCATCCTTACTGACTAGCACCAGTCAGCTTCCCTTTAGGGCCGGAAACAGAACTTGGCACTTGTGACTGACTTCCGGCGGCAGCATGCACGGCTGCAGGGCAGAGGACTGTCCAGAGAGGGCCTGGTCTCTCCCGATACCACAGCGCACACCTGGGGTGGGAACACCTGCATGGAGATGAGCACTGCCGCAGCCCCAGGTGTCCAAACAGCCAAGCCTGTGCCCGGAAGGACTGGTGGGGCTCTGGGAAGGTGCAGAGGTGGAAGCGGCCCTCAGAGCCTGGCTCCTCGGGCTCCTGCCTTGTTCATGGTACCTGCCTGGAACAGGCACCCGCCTGTGTGCTCCCCAACAGCCCCTCACCTGACAGCTTCCTCTGAAACAGCATGTATTCTAGAACCTTCCTGCATCGTGCTCAGCACAGCAGCCCCCCCCCCCCCATGGCCTGACGTCCTGTCCCAGCCGCCATCCCAGTCCTCGTGCATTCAGTCACGGTTTCCAGTTAGGCTTTCACTGCTGTGGGCTCTCAGGGCCAGACCTCTACCTTGTTCTTTGTGGCTTTCTTTGTGACCACAGTGTCTAAGAACTCCTTCCCTCAGAATGTCTACAAGTATTTTTAAAACCCAGTTTTATTAAAAACATATGGTTATCTTGCAATTATAGGGGATTTCCCCCTGCTTTGCTTTAGGGCAGTGAGCCTGTATTACTTTAGTAATTTCTAGGTGACAAGCCATGATAATCAGAAGCTGGGCCCGGCAGCATGTGGTCCTGGGCTGGCCTCTCAAGACAAAGGCCACGTGGTGTGGGGCAGAAAGCAGCTGCAAGAGCCTGTCAGACACGGAGAAGCCTGACCTGAGCTGTGCGTGCCTGTGCTGCGGGACAGGGCAGACCACATCCACCCAGTGACTACGCCACCTTTCCCGACATGGCTCTTCTGTGAACACGAACGCCTGTTTCCAGTTCTTTAGTGGCCTGTTGTGTTGATGATTCTGCTCAGCTGGGCTCCTAATTGCAGTGTTTCCTTAGTCCCAGCAGCAGCCGGAGCAGCAGCAGTGGGTACTAGCCAGCACGAGTGCTCCAAGAAGGACCTCGGTGAGCCAGTTAGCACAGGTAGGGCCTGTTTCCATGTTGTCTTCTTGTCACGAAACAGTGACAAGACTGAGACTGTGTCCCTGTTCACGCCCTCATTCTGGACTAGCAGCCTGCAGCTTTACTGTATAAGATGGTGAAGACAGGCCATCCTCATCTGCAAGAGGGGCAAACTGAACTGTTCCTAAGGAAGAGGAGGCATGGCCTAGAGTGCTAGCCTTTAAATGGGGGAGATTCAGAATTTAAATTTTACTTTCCCCAAAAGAGGAATAAAGGAGAAGAATGTAAATTTAATTAAAATTTGGCGACTATTTTAGACAAGTTTCGGTATGAATTTGGAGTCAGATCATTGGTGGTTTCCGTAGGGGCACGTTTTCAGTGCTGAGACCTCAGCTGGGATGTGTGGAGACCCGGGAGGATTCAGCTGTTCCCACACCCCTCGCAGCGCTGGCCCCCGAGTCCTGCAAACCCATCCCTTCAGTCTGTTACCTGACGTCTGCCCTGTGGGGAGCTCAGGCCTGTCACCTCTTCACTGTGTTCCCAGCAGCGCTGACAGCAGGCTCTTGAGCCAACAGCTTACACTTCCCGCAAAATTCTGCCCATAGGAATATGGAATTCATCTATATTCAGGATGAATTTTCTTTCTAATGTATCAAACTGTGCTAACAGTGGTACGAAAAAGAAAATATAGGTGTTTTCTCCACCTGGCTTGCCACTAACTCAAAATAAATGGACAATCATAAAATAAAAAACTTTCAAGGTTTCTTATAATAATTCAGCTATGACAGGCAACTGTAAAGGCCGCTGTCCAGCAGCAGAAGCAGACATCACGGTGCCTGGTGCAGTCTCAGGTCTGCACAGGGTCAGAGGTTAGCGGAGCCGGGGAGGTGACAGCAGAGGCACAGAAACACGTGGAGCAGGCAGGGTGTGATTCAGGCAACATCAGCTGCTATAAAAGGTGCACCTCAGCCCGGTTGATTTACACAGAATAGGACCACGCAAAACATGAAAAAGCACCAGACTGGGAGCTCAGACATGTTGTTTCTCTACCTTCTGGGAAAGTCTTTCTAGGAATACTAGTAAAACATTTTGGAAAGCAATTTAGCAATGCAGATCAAATTTAATGTTATATCTTATTACCTGTAGTTCTATTTCAGCTACATAAACATACGTGTAAAGGATGCTGTTCAGTGCTGTTTGTAGTAACAAAATTGGGACTTGTTTGCTGCCAGGATACTGAGTGGTTCCAGTGTGAATGACCACAGGTGGGATAACAATGCAGTCAGTAAAAGGGACGTATATCCCCATCTAGTGACATGAAAAGACAGTCACAGTACATTCATTTTTTTTTTTTTTTAAGCTGAGCCATCCTGCCACCTGTTGGCAACTCAGCGGCTGCTCAGCTCGGGCCAGGCATCGATCCGCTGTTGCTCAGAGCTCAAACTATTGAGCGAGCTCTTAACCAACTGAGCCACTCGGCCGGCCCTAGTACATTCAATTTTTAAAGGCTACAAAGCAGCATGTATAACTTTGATTTTTGTAACACACACACACACGTTTGGAAGGAAATAAACTGCTATACTGCCAGTGGCTCTTACTGGAGAACAGCCTCCTTGTTCCTTTCATTTTCTTCTTTCTACCTCTAGGGAGAGTCTGACAAGCTGGTTTCAGTTTAGAAAAGTACATTTCATTGCAGATTAGAGTTCCTGGAGAGGTGTCAGTTGTACAGCGCACAGCAGACATTGCCATCCATAGCGAGGGTGTGAAATCACCTACCTAACAGAATTCATCTCAGGAGTAATTAAGATGAATGTGGCAAAGAACCATGCGTAGGTGAAGCCAGAGACCATCATTTTCACCTCAGTGTCGCCGTATTGTCAGAATTGCCAAGCACAATCAGACTTTAATTTGAACTCTCCTAATATTTAAATATTAGCAACTTATTCAGTTGGTTTTAAAATACTACAAATTACCAAAGACATACAGATGGCAAATAAATGTGAAGAAATGCCCAACAGTATGTGACTTCATTTATGTGGCATTCTGGAAAAGGGACAGCTGTCCAGTATGTAGAGAAGACGTGGTCATGGGGGTGGGGGTGGGGTTTGACAAGGGGAGATGACAGGAGGGGGTTTCTGGGCAGTGATGGGAATGTTGTGTGTCTTGATTGTGTTGACAGTTGATTGTGTTGACAGTCACATGCTTTTCTGTATTTGTCAAACCTCTCGGACAGGACCAGAAAAGGACACGGTGAGGTAACTGTTCTCTGGGTGGTCACTTTGTGATGGCTCTCATTACATTCAGAACCTGCTTCCACGTGGTGAACTGCTTACACCAATTCCCCCACCTGTGAGGTGGGGAAGATGAACTAAGCTAGTGAAGTTCACTCACTGGTAGGTTTCTTATCGATCCACAAAATGTTAGCAGCACGGTCTTCTTCATTAAAGCAGGATAGTAACTTTGCAAACCATCTCATTAATACACTTGAAATATGTAAGGATAATACAAGTTTATCTCACCGATGTATATTTAGAAATGTCATGTAAAGGAACCCTGTAAAGCTAAGATTAACACGAATTTTTAATGCATGTTTCCCCAATCTTTCCTTAAGGCAAGGATTTTCTGTGTTCTGTGATCCAGGCTGTGGCTTCTGCCCGCAGCTACTAACAAACTGCTCTCTGGGCCCCTACAGTCTCTCCTGGCGTCAGAGGAGCTGCCCCTGGTCTACGAACAACCTGCGTGGAGCGTGGATGAGCTAGGCCCCTTCCTACGCCTGTGCCTCTTGGACCAGAATTTCCCAGCCTTTGTGGAAGAGGTGGAAAGGGAACTGAAGAAGCTGACGGGGCTGGGGAATTAGCACTTGTACAGAGATCTAAGGAGCTTGAAAGCACTGAAAACGGCTTCCTCCTTAGGATTAGAGAAGATACTAGAATAAAGATGATTATTCCAAACACCTTTTATCAATGTTTTATTTTTAAAAACAGGTGAATCCACTTTTTTATACATCATTGCACTTCAACAATTACACAAAATACAAGCACATGCACCTACGGTTACAAACCGTGAGAGCCCTGCCAGGTGAGAAATCTACACTCACCCATTAAATCAATGTGAAAAATAGTGTCAACCCCAAAGAATAGCTAGTTGCATAGAATACCATGCTAGAACATTTCAAAGTCACTAAAAACAAATGGTAAATTATAAAAAGTTTGCCTTAACTGAATATACTAATAAAGTTCAGCACATCAGTGCAAAAGGATTTAAGAATTTACATGATTTAACAAAAGAAAAAATAATCACTTAAAAAGCAATCATACATATATACTGCAATTCATTATATCCATTCAGTGAGCTGTCCCAGCTTCTCAGAGTCGTAGGTTAAGCCCTTAAAATTATAAATTTCAGTTTATATTATTCATCTTTATGTACCAGAACTGCACAATTTCCTCTTCTGACAACATACAATAAGGAATGAATATCAGCAGCTTAAAAATGAAACAAGCATTTATTTTATTTTGCATTTCTCCCACCCCCAAAATATAAATATATATGTATATTTATATACTGTATATATCTGCAGATTTGCTGTACTTTACAAAAATGCATCACTAGATGGCAGCAGTGCATTTTAGACCCTGGCCAATTTAATAGCTGCATGAAAAATGGCGCATGCACCAGCCGATCCTCAGGGGGCCTTTTCACTTCTATTTAAATATTTTAATAAAGGAAAAGAAAGCAACATTCACAGCACATCAAGCCCAAAGTAGTTTACACCTTCTACACTGAAGCACTGTTTACAAGGTACCTGGCGAGGTCGCCCTGCGGGAGAGGCTCAATAAGGCATGCTTTAGACAGTCACTGTGGTGCCGCTCGCTCGCTTAGAGGGGACAGTACCAGAGGTCCCAGCGGAAAATTTAGCAGGTCATGTTGCCACCAGTTTCAGGAACCTAAAGTACTGTGGAGAAAGAGTATTTGGAAGTTAGAAGGGAATGTGCACTGTTGCTTAAAGCCACACCAACTGCCACACAAAACAAAGCTTTGTCTCAAATGGCATGCTCAGGGATGTGGTGTGAAACTCTGGTCTCCATGCGCCTGGCGGGAGGCAGGCAGGGCCGCTGCCATTCCTGCCTGGGCCTCAGAGGCCTAGTGGGACTAATGGCCTCAGGGAACAACCCACCTCAGAAGGTGATAATCTAATCTTTACCTTTTTGAAGATATAGGGAAACAGTAGCACAAAGGGTTTATTTTGAAACCATACATATTCCGAAATAGCATTCATGCAAATCTGTGAAACCACGCAGCTGGAAAATGTTCCCTTCCAGCCGCTCCGCTGGGCAGACATAACAGTTCTATCGGCATGGAAAGGCCATGCAGCAAAACACCACGTACTGCAGATTTGTACAAGGTCAACAGAGGCACATTCATGTGAATGTGACAGCTAAGACGTGTAAGGAACGCCATACTTACATTATAAGTAGGAATTAATTTGTGTTTCTCTGGCGCAAGTTTTTATCTTTGTGATTGTTGGTTGAGTTGGTTTTCCTTTGGAGGAAAAATTACATTACAAGAGTTAAAGTCAGCAACAACTTTTGAAAGTCTTAACACATGGAAACACAGGACTCTTTCACTTACTACCATCCCTGGTGAACTTGGGAATTTTACTACACGATATTAGTACATAAGGGTCCCTGTGGAAAGTGCCTCCACGCCTTCAATCAACAGACGCTTTGACTCCCATGACAGACAGTATACAGCTAACCTTCCCTTTGAGCAGTAAACTACCATCTAATTATTATAAAGGTGAGCACGGTGGTTTTGCTTCACTGAACTCCACCGTCTCTCCTCTCAAGTGATCAGAGACACTCTGTTACGACAGGCAGCGCTGCCCTCTGGTACTGACCTGGTCTGGGCACTATCTGCCTGACTCTCACTCCTTAGTCCCCCACCCTAGAAGATTCCACTCATCTTGGGTTGATGCAAATTTGCAGTTCCATCTCTTGGATACACAGAATTGCTAATGGGGCCACAGAGTTTGTTTATGCTATAGCCCAGCTTGAAACTGAACAAAACCTGAAGTCTCAGAAATACCGGTCATTTTGCCCACAGTATCAACTGAAGCAGATGGGATATGCAAGATTGTAAACAATGTTTTTGTATGGCACTCCACTTTATATTGCTACTAAAAACTGTACCACCTGTCCTGGGAATCAAATGGCCATAGTTACCTGCTTGTCAGGCTGACAGGTCTACACTGCACTGTTCATTTCCACACACTGTCTTCCCCCGTCATCTCAGCTACTCCACACATTAAACCACACATGCAAAATAATCCCATCACAAACTATTGAATCAATGTTCAATAAAGTACTTACATTGGCCCAGCTGGTTCATCATCTACACAGGCGTTGTTTTTTAATAATCCATGAAAGACAGGAAAAGAAAGACAATTGTGAGACCCTGCATAAGGATTACTAGCACAGCAAATGGCAGGTGGCAGACATGGCTGTTCATAGCATTTACTCAAGGCCATTCCGTCTGGAGGTGCAAAACACTCATGGAGTTATTACTTCTAGATTCGAGTTTTTAATGGCAGGTATGTTGTTTCAATGGTTTTAGTTAACACTTTGAATGCTTGTCATGAAAAACTGCAACTGTAGTGGACAGATAGGCTACAATATCATATATTCATCTTGTCCCCAAGTTCCAGTGCTTCACTCTTAAATAGATGAGAAGACAAACCAACATTTCAGTTGTAAAATCCTGCTGTTTGTTTTCCTGTGGTGAATGCATGCACCACTTGAACTCAGCCCTGCGATACAGATGGCCGTGTGTGTTCTATCCATTTAGCCACATCCCCACGTCCCCAGAGGACCTGTTCTTGCTGTTTTGTAATCTTCAGAGGAGTCTTTAGTGTGGAGAATGAGACTGAGAAAGAGGAAGCCACACAGCTCTACCTGATTCTGGGTCAGCCCTCTAGAAAGACTTGAGAGAGACAGGCTCAGCATTGTGCCCTGGCCAACACCAGACCCAACCCAGATGAGCCAGCAGGTATCTTTTTTTTTTTTTTAATCAAAAAAGCTTCCATTATCTGAGTTTAGAAGCCTTATTAAATTGAATTGGTATTATGGTTCTGTTTTATAAGTTTTTCTTTCCTTTCAACTAAGGGCAACTTGGTCCCCTTTAAGCAGGGATATGATAGAATGGTTTGTAAAGAAAAAAAAAAGCCCACTAAGGAGGGGGAACCAGTAACTGCTCTTAGTTGCTTTTTATTTTACAAAAGCCGGGTGGGCCTAACTGGTTCAGAACGGTCTGATTTCACTGAAGTCTTCTAGGAAAACGCTCAGCAGGATTCCACAAGGGCTTGGTGCACATGAAGCAGTTATGGAGATTACAGTCTCAGTGTAGGTGCCCGCAGGAGCACGCATCAGGAGGAATGTCTATCACAGGGAGACATTGCTCCACCTGGTCCTTTGAGGGAGGCAACGGAGAGGCAAAGCTACCGCCAGCACACACAGTGACTGGAGCAAAAAAAGATTAAAAAAAAAAAAAAAAAACTAACCACAAACCAATGACTTATCAGCCAAAACAATAGTCTAGCGACACACCAGTGTCCACAGCATTCTAACAATAGTACACTATCAAACAGATACAGAGAACAAAGTAAGACTCAAGGACACCCAAGACGTCTGTGTGCTGTGTATGCAGTGGAGATATACAAAGACGTATCAGGTAGTAAGACACACAAGCCCAGCCTAAATCCTCCCTCACCGCGACACCCTAATGCTCTCACATCCCGGCCAAGCCAGCTCAGCTACATGCTAGCGACTAAGCACTCAGGGACTTAAAGGACAAGACACCAGAGCAAACTTAGAATAGCTTCAGTGCTCTGGCTGTGTACCCGGAAAAACAAAATTCTAAATTCTAAAGCAAGACAGCGGATTCAAGAATATCACCAATCTTCTCCCAACTTTAAAAGAAAAAGCGGGGGGTGGGGTGGGGGTAGGTAATTGCAGTAGCCAGGCTAATTCTTTTCAAAGCATGAGGCTGTCAGCACTGACCCAAGCATGTCACACCAAGCTTTTCTTTCTTTTGTAGTAGGGGTGCCCTGGTGTCTGAGTAGGAACACCACTGTCCAGCCCAACAAGCCGACAACGTGCACAGGCGGGGTGTCAGCGAGCTGCTCTGGCGTGGCTGCCATGCCTGCAAGTGGGTACAGCTGTTATTCACACTAATGTCTCAATCGCACGAGCCCCTCATCGTTTTCTTCCCAAATCCACTTTCACATTTTCAAGGAGCAAAGAAAAGAGCCTTGTGTCTCCTATTTTCCTGGACTGAATCGCTATCTGAATGAAGCACCACTCTCCCTTTACAGGTCAGACAAAAAACAACTCAACCTCTAACAGGAAAATCGGGAGAGAGGGAAAGAACAGAACTACAGAAAAAAAGGTACAAAAATCAAAGTAAATGAGGATTAAACAGCAAACTGAAATCCAAATTAGTTGTGAAAGTGAATGAAGTAAACTTGAAAAGTGTTAACATTATGAACTGTGCATCGTATAGACTGAAGCGGAGATTAAACAAACTCCAAAAGCATGCATATCGCTCACTTACCACCATGTTTTAAGGGTTTGATGCAATTGAGGGGGGAAAAAAAAGAAGTCATAGTAACCGACAAATATCAACATACCCCCAAACCCTCAGCCAAAAGATAGCTGCTTAATCAGTGACTGTTCTCTGCACCTGGGTATTAGAGCCACTGGCTAGATGAGGAACAGAACTGCGGGGGGATGGAAACAAGATGCTCTGGAATCTGTCTTCTGAGTGAAGTTCCTGGTGGAGCCATTGCACACAGTGTAT